GCAATGTGATCTCCTTGCAATGTTTTTTGGGTGCAGAGGGGCAGAGGAGATGGAATTTTGAGTTAAAATTAAAGTATCTTCAAATTTCCATTTCTGGCCTGGAAGAACCCGAGAAGAAATACAGTCCAATCCCTCACATTTCAGATGAAGAAACTAAAGCCCAGAAATGTTAAGTGTTTTGCCTAAAATGAGAAAATCCGTTAGTGGCAGAAGCTGTCTTGGTCCACAACGCATGCCTTAAATCATTATTTAGGTTTTTCTTACTCCCATACCTTCACTAGAAAGACATGTTTGTAAATACTGAATGAATTGTAAAATTAAATGAAGCCTGTTCATTTTTGCTTTAAAAGAATGTAACTAACAAACAGTAATGGCAGTTTAAGGCAATGATCCTAAAATTCTGAAGATCTGTAACTTGGACTATTCACTAAATTATCAAGTTGGCACATTAAAGTTTTAAATATGCTTTAATCACATAATCGAAGTATTACAAAGTCACTACTAGAGAATTTAAGAAATCTTAGATCTTAGTTTTTTTTTAACCTAGGCACAAAACTACAATAGAAAAAATATGAAGTAAAACAAAGTTAAACACAAGGTCTTCTGGATGTAGACACCATCACTATGATCAGCAAACACAATGATAAGAACACATTTCCAGGGAAAAAAAAAAACTGGTTGGGCGGGGGGGAGGATACACAAAGGCCCAGGCTCAGACACAACCTTTACGTGCAGTTTCATTTAAAGCGTGAAAGAACTTGGTTTATTCATTCACATGATCACTTATCCATTCACAATAGTTATTAAAGCACCTTCTATGTGCCAGAAACCACAGATGTGAAAGGTGAAACAAGACAGGATTCTTGTTCTTCTAGAGATTATGCTTTAGTAGGAGTAGGACAATAAACAAGGAAACACAGAAACAACCTAATTTCAGCCTGTGGAGAAAATAAACAGGGCGATGTGAGAATGTCTAAGGCGTCTTCATGAGGTATAAGTCAAGCAAGGCCCTCTAAGCAGGTCTGATCCGAGAAAGAACAGGAAATACAAACTCTGGTTCCAATCTCCTTCCAACTAAAACCCTTAGAATGCTTTTCTGACCAGAACTTGGGAACAGGCAGTAAATTCCTTATTCTTAGCCTCCTCAGTACAAACCGATGGGAATGAGGAGGATCCTAATTGCCAGCATGGCCTGGCCTAGTGTGGAGAAATCAAAGTGCACAGAAGGAAACCCATGAGCAAAGAAAGCTTTGTGTCCCCTTTATGAGAATAGCATTTCACTGTTTAGTAATATACAGGAACAGTAATGATCTGATATGGTGATCTTTACAGAGAAAAATATATTCTTATTAGATTTTCTAACATGAAGTGGACTGTGGCGAGATGGAATATCAAATAAAGTCTAGGTAGCAGTCCGCCTAGACTAATCGTAAGCATGTTAACTTACGATTATTAAGCATTTTAAACACAATTTTTTCAAACTCTAAAATATTCCCTGTTAGAGAACGCAAACGTAGGAAAAAACAAAGAACATGGGGAAATCTTTTTCTTAATTTTTATATTTATTACAGTCCTTAATGTCTCCACCTCAATTTGCAAAACACATAAATCTCCAAAGATCTGTTCGAAATCTGCAAAGATCTGTTCAGAATTCTATTATGAATGTGTCAAATAGCAAACATGCAAACAACTAGATATTTAAGCAATTTTTCAATGGTTTCTCCTTAGCCAGGGCAAATATATTAGTCCAACATTACTATTAGGGACAAATAAAGACAGAATCAGTGACTACCTGAAGTAGGATATTCTCATGTTAAACATAAAATGAAGCACAAAAAGGATTAATGACCACTCAACATCAAACAAATGGAAGGGAAATTAAGCACCAAAACTTTTTTTTCAACTTAATATATATGTGTATGCATACATATTTTTTCATACACAGTTGCACACAAGCACACAGTTATACATCTATGGAGTCTTGATATAAAAAGACTCTTGCTATGACTGCAATCAAAGATTTTAAAAACACTGCATTTCACACTGCCTGTCTTGAAATGCTTCCTTGTATTTTTATGTAAACATTGCAACAGCAACTTTAAAAACATTCATGGATGGCTAATTCTACCTTAAAAATCTCTCCTTCAAATTCTATTTTTGCATTTATTCAGCGTTCTGCTTCTTCTACTGTATGACTACAGCTAAAAGAAACATCAATACCAATAGTAGCAACTAGCAAGCAGAGACACTCTCACTCAGCCAAAGGTGCTACAAGAAATACTGCCTATTAAACTCCTGAGGAATTTACAACTAGAAAAGCAGATATTTATTACAAAAAGACATAGTATGTTCACCAGACCTCAGAGGTTCATAAAGTTCTCTCCAAAAGACTCAGTAATAAGTCCTTCCACAGGCTTGAGCTCGGAATATAATTTCAGGGGAAAAGACCCATTCCTAAAATGTTTTCTCTACATAATATTGCCTGAGGCCAATATCTGGGGAGGGGGGGAATTGAACGGAGGACACAGCTATCCACTCCTAATTAGGTCTAAGATTTAAAATGTGAACTGCCTGAGAGAAGCTACACTAAAATTCCAGAAATACACAGAAATATCATCTCTCAAGATATTAAGTCATTTTTAGATGGCATATTTGGGAGAGGGAAGAGAAGACAATAGCCCTGAAGAGTATACAGATAAAAGAAAATGGGTAAAGTAAGTCAGAATGAGAATATAAAGTGTTAAGGCAAAAGGGAAACTACTTAATCACTATGCCATAGTAAAAGTTTAATCTAAAATATATTTTGCAGCACTAGATATTTCAGTCACAGAGTCTGACCTGCCCACAGCGTCAGCCAATCATGTTTTGTGCCACATGACCCCACCACAGCTAGCTAAACGGAGGCTTTGGGCACCTTTGCCTGAAGCCTCACCAAAAACAGGGCCCTAAGTAAACCAGGATGTTGGGAGTAGGAACATAAAAGGAAAGAATTCGCAAAAAGAAACAATGGAGTTAGACTAAGGTATTGACAAACTAGTTACAAAGCAGGCATAATAGGCAAACTGATGCTACAGAGTAAAAGAAAATACAGAGTAAGGAGGAAGAGAAGCAAGCATGCCAAAAATGCAGAGAAGGCGTGTGCTGCTCACGAAAAAGAAGGATGAACTGGTCAGTAGAGATGGTGGCGTCTTTCCAGTTCTTTCATGTGTATCCCCCTCTTTCAAGTGGAAATGTACCCGTAAGATACAAATAAATGACTAAAAGGGTTTACATCCATTTTTTCCACATTAAAAAGAACATCAAAAAACCCTTATCATTGAAAGTCGAAGCTAGAAGAGTCCTTGGAATCAGACTAATTCACTATTTTAGAAATGAGGAAATTGAGGACCACAAAGGAATCCAAGGTTACACGGCTAGGACAAGAACCAAGGTCTCCTATTTCCATAGTCATTGCAGTAAATAACACCAACATAGACATTTTTCTTCAAAACAAGTATTTTTGCCACACGTTTTAAAATGAATCAGAAATTTTTATGTGTATATGCCATCTCCCATGGTTTAAGTAAGTTTTCCACATAATTACTCGCTGGCTCTGTTATCCTTATGAAACACATTCATTAGATTTTTCCTTCTTTTCTTAAATATTTCTTTTAAATGCATCTGTCACTAAAGACATGACAGAAAATTCATCAGGCCCCACTGGCTTTTCCTGGCCATAACTGTACAGTCAAAAATAGCATTACTCAGGACATGTTATTTCACATATTATACAATAGTGTTTGAACTCAAAGTAGTACAAAACAGACATTTTAAGTGAAAATAAATTCAGCTAAGGAATACAAAAATTTCCTTGAAGAAAAACTCATCACCAATGTCAATAAAATTCAGGGAGACACAGTGCAAGAACCGAAACTAAAGAATTGGGGTTAATGTGAACTGTTTCAAATCATTTATTACATTCATTCAGTTTGTCGTAAGAACAAAAACTACAACTTGGAAACAAATCCCAAAGGGAGAAAATTACTAACCAGTGGGAAAAAGTAGAGGGGTAGAAAAAAGTTGATACAGAGTTGAAAGATGAAGTTGGAAAAGCGGTGAAGCCTCAGGTCGGGACTGCAGAACACCTCAGATGCTTACTCTGCCAAAACAAACACTTAAGCTTCTCTAAGGATCCCGCAAAGGACACAGCAGATGCGGGGGGGCGGGGGGAGGGATATAGTAAGTCCTTGCATGTATCTCTAAAGCTGATCCACAGAAAAGCAGAGTCATCAATTTCCTAACATTCTCAGCCATCTTAAAACAGCGGAAATTAAGAAGACAGCATATTTTAAAGAATTCCTTGTTTAGGTTTCAGGTGAATGCAGTATAAAGCAAAGAACACACAACCTAGGGTGCTAATAATTAAAGAAAGAAAAACACAAATCCAGAGGTTACTTCGGTATAGCTAGTGAAAGTATCGTATTCTAAAGATTTTTGGTCAAATGAAGAATTAGTGGCGTTGTAAGCATATTATTTCTTGTTCTAACAACTTAAAGGTGTGTATTTTATCTCCATTTAGTCGATGACAAAACTCAGGTTTAGAGCCTTTAATTAACCAAGGTCACAAAGCCAGAGAGCGAGTGACGATCAGGACTGAAACCCAGGCTGCCTGAGCCACTCTTAATACCGCTTGCGAGAGTATAAGCAGTTTCGGTTCATCCTTATCAGTCACCCAGGAACTGAGTTTTGAAGAGGAAATTAAAAAAGAGGGCATTTGACTTTCTCTCAAAGTAGAGCAGAGCTGAGCTGTCAAATGCAGAAAGAAGCGAGGGTGGCTGCAGCGCGGGCACTCCATCCCCGCAGCTCGGGTCCGTCGCTCCCCCGCGCCAGGGGCCGCGGGACCGGATCCCGCTCCGCTCGGATCACGCAGCCGGAGCCACGCTCGGTTCTCGCGAGTGGCGCGGGTCCCACGGGCTGCAACGCCGCCACCCCGTGCTTCTCTCTCGAACCCTCCCCATTACCTTGACAGTGGGCTTCCCGTCACTGCCGCCGCCAACGGGCGCCGGAGCTGGGGCGGCGCAGCGAAAGCGAATTAGAGGGCGTCAGCTGCGTCCCGCGCTCGCGAAGCAGCCTCCAGGTCGGGATGGAGAAAGGCCGGGGCTGGGAATTAGGGACGAGGTTGGTTTTCCAGCTTATAGAGATTTTACTCTTCTCGTCCCTCGCACTCAGCTTCCGCTCCGCCTCCTGGCCTCCTGGCCCGGCCGGGCCCTTCCCCCACTGGGGAGAGCAGCTGCCCCCGGCGCGCGGCATTGTGGGGGTTGTAGTCCCGGAATGCGGAAGAAGCGGCACGTGCTTGTAGCCCGTCGGCACCTACTCTGGATCAGGACGACGCCGTTGCGTAGCAACCAGAGGGCTTTTTGGTCTTGAAAGAGGAGCTTATCGTAGGCATACTCTCTCTGCTTTAGCTCGCCGCAGAGGCTGAAAGGAGAGTGTGGGTGTCTTACTCGTGACCCTCCAGCTGGGAACCAACAATTCTGAAGCTGTTGGCTTGAGGCAAAAGAGCTTAGTAGTGATTAAAGGTGTGCTACGGACAAGAATGTCAGTTATTGCCCATAAATGCCCTTAGCCAGTGGAGTAAGGCAAGAAAAGTAAAAGATTCAATAGGAAGAAACAAAATTCTCAGATGTCGTAATTGTTATGTATGTGGCATATCCGAAAGAATCTATGAATTGTTGCAGTTAATAAGAGTTTAACACGGTTAATAAGTACAAAATTCATATTTTTTAAAAAATCAGTATTTCTATATTCCACAAAATAAGAGACTTCAATTTTTAGAAGATACCATTTACAATAGCTTCAAACGAATACCTAGGAATAAATCAAAGAAATGCAAGACCTGTATGAAGAAAACATTTTTTAAAACATTGAGTAAGACCTGAAAAAATAAGGTAACATTTTCATGGGTTGGAACATTCAATACTGAAAGATGTCAAGTCTCCCCAAATTTATCTATAGATCCAGTGCAATTCCAGATAAAATCTCATAGGTTTGTGTGAGAGAAACTTAAAGACAATTTAAAACTTGAAGAGCGAACACAACCATTCATGAGGAAGAGTAAAATAAAGTGAAAGGAGGAGGAAAACTTGTGCTCTAATAATTAGTGCAGTGTGGTAATGGATCAAGGATAGACATATATATCAATGGTACAGAATAAAGAGCCCAGAAAGTCTCACCCATACATGGGAATGTGATTTATATTGTCATGGAGGTGATGCAAAGCAATGCCTAAAAAACCATTTTCAATAATTGGTGCTGGACACATGGATTTCTATTTGGAAGAACAATAATGAAATCGGGCTCTTCACATTACACTCAAAAATCAATACCAGGTGGATAATAGCCATAAGTTCGAAAGGCAAAAGAATAAAGCTTTTAGAAGATAAAAGGAGATAGGAGTATATGTTCAGGACCTGAAGGGTAAGGGACAGACTTTTTAAACTAATCCAAAAGCACTAACTATAATAGAAAAACTGATAAATTTGACTACATTAATATTTAAGACTTGCTTTTATCAAACAACACCATTAAGGGTTAAAAAAGCAAGCCTCAAAATTGAATAAGAAATTTACAGCAGTATGCTGTACACCTTAGACTTATAGAGTTCTATGTCAATTATATCTCAATGAAACAAAAACAGCATATATAACCAAGAAAAATCTTGTATTCAGAGTATATATAAAGAACCACAGTCATAAGAAAAAGATGAACAGACACATTACTAAGGAAGAACAACGAATAACCAGTAAACATGTGAAAAAGTGTCAACCTCATATGAAAATAGGGAAATTAAAGCTATAGTGAGAGAATACTATACCACCCAACAGGATGGCTAAAATGAAAAAGACTGACAATTACAAGCATTGACTATGAGTGGTATAATAAAAATTTTCACTTTACCATACAGAGAATAAATGAATAAAGTAGTTTGGAAAACTTGTTTGGCCTTATCTATTAAAGTTGAACATGGGCCTATACATGACCCAGCATGTGACTTCCAGAGGTATGGCCTAAGAGAAGCATGTTCATGTGTACCAGGATGCATGTGCAAAAATGGTAACAGCAGGACTGTTGTTAATAGCTAAAAACTGTAAACAACCCAATGTCCTCTATCAACAACAAAATGGATAAATAAATTGCAATATAGTTGTATAAAGGAATATAATATAATCAAAAAAATAAACTACATGCAACTGTATAGATGAATCTTAAAATATGCTATTTATTCTACTTCATAAAGTTTAAAAACATGAATAAAGAATGTGTACTTAGTTGGTAAAACTGTAAAGAACAAGGAAATAGTTACCATAAAAAGGAGATTAAGGGCTATAGCCTCTAAGACAGAAGGAATCCTATAGGAAGGGGGTTGAGACTGGGAAGAAGTAGTGCATTGGAATTCTACAAATCTGTTATTTCTTTATATGGGTAGTGGCTACATTGCTGTATGCTCTATAATAACTCATTAGACTTTATTGTTTAGACATCTTTCCATGTATGTGTTATGTTTCCCAAGTTAAAAATAAAAGAGCACAAGTCTGGAGTTAGATTGCATTCTTTCCATTCTAGGCCCTACAACTGCAGGACATTGGGCAAGCTCCATAACCTCTCTAAGCTTCAGTTTCCCCATCTATAAAATGGCAGAAATAAGAACAACACTGTCATAAGGATGTGAGAATTAAAATGAAAATATGAGTTAAAGCAGATTGCATAGTGCTTGGCAAGCCCTCGGGAAATGTTGGTTATTATTGCTATGACCACGTTGAAGTGTTAAAGTCACTGAGGCGAGTAGAATATGAGATGGTTCCTTGAGGTAGGGAATAGGTGGATGAAAATAAATATACGAACAGCCACAGCAGACTGTGATATCTGCCCTATGGAGTGGAAAAACCACTTCCAGCAGAATGGGAAACGTCTTCATGGTAGCGAGGCACGAAGGAAAAGAGACAATACAGGCCAAGTGCACAAAACACGAGAAAATCTGGGTACAGGTTACCTGTGGTATCCAATACAGTAACCACTAGCCATATGTGGCTTTTGACAAGTGGTGATGTGGCTAGTCTGACAAGATGTTCTGTAAGTATAACACGCACACCAAGTTTTGAAGCTTTTAGTACAAAAACAAATGTAAAATTTTTTAATAGTTTTAAAATATTGATTGTTAACAAAATATTTTGATATATTCAATTAAATAAAATACATTATTAAAATTTACTTGTTTCTTTTTACTTTCAAATATGACTGCAAGAAAAAATAAAATTGCCTATGTAGCTTGCATTATACTTCTATTGGACAATGTTCCTATAGAGATATATGAAAAACAAAGTAGGACAGAGGAAGAAGTTAGATGGCCTTAAATGCCAAACTAAGGAACTTTTACTTAATTTAAGGAGCCATGAAAATTTTTAAGATGAGATGGTTACGCATTTGTCTATGAGACCATTATCTAATATTAATGTTGACCCAATCTACTATATTAGGTTGTAAACACTCTACAGTGTTTACAGTATCCACTGTTTCCAGAGACTGGTAGAAGGCACTCGGTAAATAAATGATGAACGAATAACTCTTCCTACTGACCCCACACACAAATCGCTGGACACCACGTATATTTAATAAATGCTGTCTGATTCTGATAGAGTTTGGCAATATATTCCCACTGCACGTTACAACTGAGAAACCATTTTCTTAGATGTCATGGAATGTATTGTCATACTTCTCTCACTCATCATGTCAATGAAAGAGCTAGAATCAAAAGAGTAAATAGCTGCTCAAATAAAGTTAATCAGAGTTGAAGCCATTCCTTTCTGGAATAAAAACCATAGCCAACTAGTACCAGGCCCCAGATAGGAAAATGTCTTGTCAGCAACATAACAGGGGAGAAGGTAGTCTACTTCTGAAAGGAATGGCTAGTAATATCATGCTAATAAAAAAAAAGAGCCTCTCCAGAGGATTAATCATGTTGTCTCTGAGAAGAGTCAGAAACTGAACAAGGAGAAGGATTTGGAATTGAGGCACCTACTTCTACTCTTATTTATGAGATGGAGCATGACGCTGCTCAGGCCGGAAGTATTGCTCAGTATTTGCTGTGAACGTGAAAAAAACAAACAAACAAACTCTGGACTAAACTTGCGGAGAAATAGTGACTCTTGTGAAAAAAGGTGGCTCTTTCCTGAGAGTCGGAGATGGGGAGACCAGGAGGAGGGAGAGACAGGTCAGAAATGACAGGAAACTCCCCGAAAGACGCCTTTCATGCAAAGGCCTAAAACTGAAAGCACCTTCCCTTGAGCTTTGAGGGCTACATTCAAGTTAACGGAATCTTTGTTCCTTCCGCATCGTGACATGCTTCTGTGATTTGCCTGCCCCTTCATGGACAGTTCTATTTTTACACATAATGGTCCAAAGGGTTTGGTCCGGGAAAGTGTGACAGGCCAGGGAAGGGAGGCCTCTGACCTGCGTCTCTATTTTGGGATTTAGGAATGTGAGAAGAGCCTTCTAACCATAGGAAAACTCCCAACTGAAAGTATAATAAAGAGTTTGAGCCAAGACAGGTATTTTAATTCTCTGTCTCTTATGCTGGGAACTCATCATATCTGACCTAATTCAAATTTAGGCCTTCTTTAAAGAAAGCAGATTTTATTCATTTAAATTCTCAGATATAAATGGCAAAAAGGCAAAGATGAACACTCAAATTATCGGTATCATAATGACTACTGTATTTCCTAGCAGACTCAAGGTCATGTACACTCAGTGAGATGGATTTTAACAAAACAGAAGGTACAAATATGTATATTTTTGGCTAACTTGCCTAACTACAAAAATTACCTACATTTTATTCATTATTACAAAATTCAGAATAATTATCCCATGAAAGTAAATAAAATGACGAATGCTATTGCATTCAAAACTCATCACTGCACATTTTTTCCATGTAAGAATTTAGATTTAGAAATTAAAGTCTTCAAATACTCTAAATTAGATAAAATTTAATTCAATTTTTAATAACTGCATTTAATAAATCTCAGGGATTAAGCCAGTTTCTTTGGCTATATCTTATTTTATCCATTCATTAAAAAAATGTATAGGTATCTCTCTATTTACTCTTTCTCAAATAGATTATAAGATCTAGTCAATCAAGATACATGACATTATTAAGAGAGAAGATGTTACATAGTGTAGAGTTGTATTAATATTTTGGTCTAAGCATTATT